GATTATCTCTGAAGTTTGAATTTCAAACTTAGATTTTTAAACTTCATTACACTCTTTTAATCATTAATACAGATTTGGGTTAGTTCCTCTGCCCAGTGAGAATTTCTAGTGATCTCTCAAATACAGACTCTTAAATATAAACATATTATGATGATCTAGCTTGTTGACATCATATGTCGTTAAACCCTAACTGTATGAGTAGTCTACGTTAATTATACAAGTATTACTATATGCGTTACGTCATCGTTACCCAGTTTAATCTGTGATTATTGTTCAAATAGCCTTCAATATGTCATCGTATCCGCTAATTACCGATGGCACTTGATAGTATAAGACACTCGCCTTACACGAGTGCCTTAGAAGTGTATTAATCTCGCAGGGGGCTGACAACGCCTACCAGAAGACAGAAATAAAGATTAATTTACAGTTATTGCACCTCGCAGGGTGACGACACAATTAATTTATCATTAATTACCGGTTACATGTTTTATGCCTATTGCAGCTTCGCAAAGGTGGGGTCGTGCAGTTAGTTTTTATTTAGAATTATTCTAAATGTTAATCCTAATCAATACTATAGTATTTTTTATAAATTTGTCTACTGCAGACAAATTTATTCTATACAATAAAAAAACAAATTTACTCATCTCGTGTATAATTAAAACAAACAACAGTGACGTTAATTTAAACTTAATAATGTTAAGAAACAAAAAAATACAAACTTAAAAGATAAGATACGTTCTTCTTCTCAGATTTTATCCTTGCAAAAGAATGTTCAATGAATTCTGAAAGCCACTCTTATCTATTTCCCATCGGAAAAGAAACGGTAGGACAAAAATGACATGTATTGAGATTACATGTTGAAGCATTGAAGAGTGGTCGTTGTCGAAACGTCTATAATGATAACAACAGCAACGACAACGACATTAACAAAAGCAACAACAGCACGTGTAAGGGAGCTGGAAGATTTATGACTAAGGGAAAAAGTAAAAGCATTCCTCTTCCAAGAATACTCCAAAATCTCCTGTAAAAGATTAACCGCCCAACATTTTCTCTTAACACCCTTAATCGCAATATGTGATTCAACCGGATGACCACATTAAGGTTTGCCTTGGTGCCCTTTTCACACCACCTACANTATTAAGGTTTGCTTTGGTGCCCTTTTCACACCACCTACAGCCCGTAGGTACAAACACACCTGATAAATAACTTAAGTATTTGTGGCCTTCATTTCGATAAGTGGTATAATAGATTCAATCTGACGTACATTATGACTGCAATGCGCGGTTGACCATCCGGCTGTTACAAAGTAGACCAGTGGGTTGTCGCGGCGTATTAGACACGGTCCTACATCGCTTCACGTTACACAGAGACCCGCATCCTTAATAAGCCGTCACCCTACTACGTGTATAAGGTAGTTTGACTGACTAACACTATGCGCCATTGCTACAGTAATAAATTCCCGCAAGTGCCGCACGTCAACGACGGGCCGTCGCAAATATATGTTGAAGTCAATTTTGTTCCTACCATTTTCCATACATATACTTGTTCTTTTCGAGCAACCGACACTGGACCCTCTCACGTTCAATATGTATTTATTTCTATAACTAGACTACGATTATTATTCTTAATAACTTATTGTGTTTAATTTGGGCGTATAATTGTAAAGTATACTAAACAGCTAAATGCCACTTACCAAAATAAGCATTGTATTGGCTACGTTTATTTGATCAAATACCTCAAAAATCATTTTAGCTTAAGACGATTTATTTAAAGTATAATTTGATAAATTTAAAAAGTTAATAATATTTTATCAGAAAACTAATCAGGACAGCCATTTTTGTTGATATAATTGATTATATCAAAACAACCCCTTCGAGTAGCTTCATAATTAGTATTTCTACTCCATGGACAATTATGTTCATGGGCATATTTTAAACAATGAAACTGACCATTTGCAGCAGCAAGTCTTGTAGTGCCTTCATCCCATTTACAACCATTTTCGTGGGCATACATTAAGCAATCTAAATTACCACGCATGGCAGCAGTAGCTATTGTTCCTTCATCCCAATTACATCCATTTTCATGAGCAAATTTCAGACAACTAATGCAACCACTCGCAGCAGCTTCCCTTGTTGTGCCTTCGTCCCATTTACAACCATTTTCATAAGCATATTTTAGGCATCCTACATTTCGATTCGCAGCAGCTCCTCTCATTGTACCTTCAATCCATTTATATCCATTTTCATAAGCATATTTTAAACAGTCTAAATTACCATGCACCGCAGCTGTAACTAATGTTCCTTCATCCCACGGACACTCCTTTTCATAAGCATATTTTAAACAGTCTAAACAACCACTAGCTGCAGAAGCTCTGGTTGTGTCATAATCCCATGGACACCTATTTTCATTAGCATATTTCAAACAATCAAAATGACCACTAAAAGCAGCAGCTTTAATTGTGCCAATAGCCCATGGGCATCCTTTTTCATGAGCATATTTTAAAATTTCTAAATTACCATAACTTGCTGCTACTTCTGTTGTTCTTTCATCCCATGGGCATCCATTTTCATGTACATATTTTAATATTTTAAAATTACCTCTTGCTGTAGCCGCAGTAGTAATGCCATTATCCCATGGACATCCATTTTCGTGAGCATATTTTAAAATTTTAAAATTATTTCTTATGACAGCCGTAAATATTGTGTCTACATCCCATTGACATCCATTTTCATGTGCATATTTTAAAATTTTAAAATTACCTCTTACTGTAGCCGCAGTAGTTATGCCATTATCCCATGGACATTCATTTTCGTGAGCATATTTTAAAATTTTAAAATTATTTCTTGTGACAGCCGTTAATATTGTGTCTACATCCCATTGACATCCATTTTCATGTGCATATTTTAAAATTTTAAAATTACCTCTTACTGTAGCTGCAGTAGTTATGCCATCATCCCATGGACATCCATTTTCGTGAGCATATTTTAAAATTGTTAAATTACTACTTTTGACAGCGGCAAATGTTGTGCCTACAGCCCATGGACATCCATTTTCGTGGGCATATATTAAACATTCTAAATGACCATTTGAAGCTGCTTCAGTAGTCGTATATTCATCCCATTCACAGCCACTCTCGTAAGCTATTTTTAATGTTTCTATATCACCTATTTTAGCAGCTTTTCTTATAACACCTTTTTTAAAAGGGCATATTTTTTTTTCACTCAAATATTTATTTTCAATACCTAAATGAACACAATAATTAATTCACTTATGCTGTATCAAATTTTAATTAGATTAATAAATATTATTTAATTAAAAGAGTGACAGTCGCGTTACATGGACATCACCTTTATCAGTCGTTGTCCTACTACGTGTATAAGGTAGTTTGGCTGACTTACACCAAGTGCAATACGCCACGCTACAATGTCCAGCAAGTGGCGCACGTCCGATATCGATCCGCCGCAAATATACGTTGAAATCAACTTCGTAACACCACCTTATACGGATCTTTTCGGAAGTATCTCCCAACGCACTACATCTAAGCAAATTTCTTTTTATTATTGATTTAGTTGATTCATTTTAGTGGTGGTGACCATCTTTATATGTTAGGAAGTCATATGGTTTTTAAGTAATCGGCCCACAAATATAAATAAAATTGTTTTCAAAATTTTCTTTGCATAACNGAATATAAATAAAATTGTTTTCTAAATTTTCTTTGCATAACACAGGTGTCATAAAAATTTAAGATTATTATTAAATATATATTTAAATACAGAGGTATGGCCTAGTCGGTAACGTAGCAGTGCTTGACGCGTATTACCTCGGATTCGAAACTCGGTCACGAGCTATTTCATTTGCCGAATGTGATATTAGTTCGGTAATTGACGTCGCTATCTCTCTCTTTGACGATAGACTAACCACCTGACTATGCCGCGACCTCACTGTGCTGAATTTTTATCTTTAATTTAAATATATGCCTTACTAGTTAAATTTACTTAGAAATTTTTAGTAGAACTTTTTTTCAACGAAGTCAATTGGAATAAAAATGTGTTATGCATTTTTATAATTAATCAAACTTAATATAATATTTTATTATTCTATAATACATTACAATTATTTTGTCAGTACATGTTCCACACCCGAAAGTGCAACACGTGTGTTCATTATCGCGTTATCGCTTTTTAAGCTCTAGATTTACGCACGCTAACAGATAGTATGGCTTTTTTCGTTTAAAAACAATTATTTCTAACTCTTAAAATAAATGATAACTTTTTACACGATGATCTCAAAAAATGGCATCAAAATTCAAATTATAATTTGGCTAAAACTAATGTTGAATCCTTATTTATGGTAAATTATCCAACAGAAAGAGGAATAGCTTTAATAACGCAATTTTTATAGTTGCATGACAACTGACGAGGACCAAAGACAATATTTACTACAAGTTGTATAAGAGCATCGCAATGATTATCCAGACTGTAGAAAGTTAGCTTTAATGTTATCAAAAAAATGGAACTTACCTTCTTATTGTATTATATTTAATAAAAAATAATATGTTTAATTAAAAAAAAAATATTTGAAAAGTATCTAAAGACAATCGCCACTTATTTATATTTTCAAGAATATCATATATTTTAACTTATGCATTATTTATAAAAAAAAATATATTCAGAACTTAATTAATTTTAATGATGTACTTTAACTAAAACAAGCAATAAAAAATTTACTCATTTGAGTGTATTATTATAAAAATTTATTACAATATTAAAAATCTATTGTTACATTCAAGTGAAACTAAAAAAATTTTTTTATTGATTTATAAAGCAACATGTTATCAAAAAAATTGGAATATTATAGACTGGTAGTAGCACACGCAAAAAGAGTTAAAAAATTATTAAATTTAATAATTTGAAATTTCTAAAAAAAAATGCAAAATATTAATTGTTACGATGGTATTTAAACTCGTACCCATAGCGTAAAAAACACAAGTGTTATCGATTCGGCATCTGTTCGTCGCTTTCTTCGGATGATAAAATTGGCGATCCAAGCTGATTCAAATTTTAAAGTTACTTTTTTCGACTTAAAAATAGCAAACAAATTTAAATAAGTTCAACTTTATATTCTATGTCAATTAGATTATACGATATTTATGAAAGTCATTGTATTCTCCTTGTAAGATATTTTGAAATAAAATAAAAAAAAAATCCAGTATTTTAAAACAAATATAGCATTTTTTTCACCGTGAAGAAACTATATTTCAAATTTTTTTTTCATATATTCATGGAACATTTTCAAAAATTATATTGAATAAGATTAACTTGTGTGCGCGAAATTGATTTTTTGAATCCCCCTGTGGGCAATTTTACAATCAGATATTTAAAAAAGTTTAATATATAAAAGTGTCAGACCTTCCGGAACATTTTTAAAAGTTAATTTTTTGTGAAAAATTTATCATTTTAAATCCCTCCCTGTGGCTAGTTAAAAGGTTAAATTTATGAAAAAATATACCAAATGATAGGTAAAGATATGGCTGTTTTTATTAAAAAAAATTGAAAGAATTTCGAAAATTAGCGATTTTTAAATTTGTAATTTTTTTGGAGATTTCCTCCATTTACGGGGAACAAAGGAAATGTTTTCAATTTTTGAGGGTTTTGTCTTCGACTAGATACGATTTGTGTTCTTTTGACGTATTTTTCATATAAATTGGTCCAGTGAGAGATGGGAGAAAGTGATAACAGATACAATAAAAACAATTTTTTTCAAATGTGGATTAAATTATTCAAGGATACATGACTATAAATAATTGATAACAATTTTTTTATAATAATACACAGAATAGTCGGGTCTGAAAGGGTTAAAAATGTTTTCTTTTTGGGGGAGGTCAGATGAATTCGTCGCTTGCGATGGTTTAATCGTTTTAAGTAATTTAATGTTTAAATTATTCTTATTGGTTTGATTTTTGTTGTATAATATGGTTGAACAATTCTTTTTGTAGTTGTTCAACGTTGGGCGGCAAGTTGTGTATTGAGTAGTGGTTACCTTTGCGATTGTGATATAGAGTTAGTATCGGCATTCACCTGACCCAGAGAATATCTAACGTACGCGCGAGCGTTCAGCTGTAATAAAAATTTTATCAATAAAGTTGTAATAAAAATAATTGTGGTGTTGATTATTACCTTAAAGGAGTGATAGTTACTCCTTGCCGTCCAGGTGGGGGGGCTGCCGGAGGCAAAGGTGCGGGGAGTCTTGGGTCCACTAACCATTTCCGGACACTACACTGTAGGCTATTTACCTATCACATTAAGAAGGGGGGCAGTGCGACCTGTTTACGGTTATAACAAGTGACGCCGCGGGCCTTTCCCATCCAGTATACCAGAGACCTTTCCTAGAGTGGGTTCGCAGAGGCTGCTCTTTACCAAAACTGCTCTTTAGCCGATATTTAAGGTGCTCGGGAGAACACCACCTTGGATAAGAACCAAAGCTGGGATCAGAGTGCGATCCCATATCAGGTTAAGGGTCATGCGCGCATGTCGGAATAACTCAGCCCCACGTATCCCTCAATCATTGAAACCAAGCCCAACCGAGTTTGACACCATGAATCTGGTACACCTAACCGTCAGTGTGGGTTTCCAGACTCCCCGGTTTACCAGTGTCGCAAAAGCATCCTTGGACTGGTCGCAGTCGACGCATACGTATCTCTGATGTGCCTTTGACCAAAAACCCATTCGGGTTCATGGCTGCAGGACTGCTGAAGTCTCCAACCTATTAAACCAGAAGCCTGGAATAGGGATATGGAGATACAGTAAACCCGCAAAACATTGGTCCTTTGTTCGATTGAGTGAAAATTTACTTATTTTGGGTAGTGCGTTATTTTAGTGAATGCTAACCTCGTGACAAAGTGTGGTCTTGACTTAAAAGTATTAAGTCAAATTTGGGGTTTGAACACTTGCGTTCAACTCTGTTGTGCTTATAAATTTTTAACTTGGATTACTTGAAAAAAAAAGAAGGGATTAAGCAGTACTAATTAAGGTAAAATATTAGTATATTTATATATATATGTGCATATTCTGTATACAGTTGTTTTAATTTGATTGCCACAAAATACTTGTGCGTAAAATCCGTTTTGTATAAATACTTTTTTTGTCATTGTAAATTATATTGGAGCAAAGAGAGCGATAGTGTCGAAGAAATAATAGGCTAACAGGCAATTCCGTTTCGGGCGTATTATTAGCGTGTAAAAAAACAATGGCAGAATTAGCGAGTCTTATCTCGCAGAGAAGGAAAATGAAAGGCCGCGTCACGCGCCTTACTACTTATATGCAAGACAATGCAGCCAAAATGGATGTTGATCAGCTTGCACTTCAGCCAGAAAAGGTGGTGGAGACATGGAACGATTTTGAGGAAGTGCAGGCATAAGTAGAAGGGTAATCTGATGATCCATACTATACTATAGACATACTATACGATGAAGTATAGAGAAGATTTCGATGATATATACTTCATGAACGTTGCTTGTACTAAGAAAATTTTGGGAACAGTATTTTTTACGGAAGAAGAAGAACCAGAAGTTCAGACTCTTTTAAAGTTTTTAAAATCTCGTTTTCGAATTTTAGAGGCTGTAAATATGGGAAAACAGGAAAAAGAGTTCAAACAGCCTATGACAAGAAATAAATTTGTTAGGTCTAACGGATTTGCAGTTACGAGCGAACTAAAATGTTTTGTTTGTAAACAAGTGCATACGGTGCATAAATGTCCGACACTTTTATGTCTAAGTGTAAGAGAGAATTAAAAAGATAATTAAGTTAAATCTCTGTAAAATTTGTTTACGAGTGCATGTAGGCGAACGATGTACACAACGGTGGTGTCCTAAATGTTCGCAATCGCGTAATAGTTTATTACATATACCGCGGGAAGATAAGCAAGTTAATGATATGCCCGTATTGCGGTTATTCCCAGGTAATCAAAGTAAACATCAAATGAAAAAAAATGTAAACAATAATACTCCGTCAACTTTGTCTTCGTTTCATTCACGCATGCGTCAGTTCAATACATTGATTCTTTTATCAACTGCTACAGTAATAATTTATGATTATCAGCGGCGACCTCTTTTGTGTTGTGCATTATTAGACAGCGATTCACAACATAATTATATGACTGAATCGGTAGATTAAAGCGCCGGAAAACATTATGCGTTAAGGCATTAATGCCGTCACGCATACGTCGTCACATATAATTTCGGCTACTATGGAATCGCGTGTATCTGAATGCTTGCTTTTATTGGATTTATTTATTTTACCAAAATTAACAAGTAATTTGTCATCTAGACCGATCAGCGATTCTTTATTAAATAAACCTAAGAAAACAATACTTGCTGATCCGTCATTTAATAGTCCAAATTGCATCGATTTAATTTTGAGCGCCGAAATATTCTTCGATTTAATTAAACATGATCAAATTAAACCAATGGACAGCGGCCCGGTGTTATAAAACACGCATCTCGGATGGGTGATCGCCGGTCCGGTTCCAGCAACTACGTTAGACAAGCAAGAGTGCTGTATGTCGGCGGTATCGATAACCGAACTGGCAAAAATTAGTGAGCTTGAAGACCTTATAGTACAGTTTTGGAGACTAGAGGATATTCATGCTAAAGCTCCTTACACATTAGAGGAGAATATTTGTATGAAACATTATGAATTAAATGTTCGTCGCTCAACGGATGGGAGATTTACAGTTGTACTACCATTTAAAGACCCATCTATATTGGGTAAATCATATTACATGACCTTGTATCGATTTTTATATTTAGAAAGGCCACTTCAGTCTGATCCACAGCTTAAAAAAACATAGAAACAATTTATTGACAATATATCATGCTAGGGCATGCAGAAAAAGTTGATCGTCTATAGAAGAAGAGCGTTGTTATTACATGCCTCACCATGCGGTCATAAATGAGCACAGTACGAGTACGCGATTAGAAGTGGTGTTCGACGCATCTGCGAAAACAACGTGTTTATCAAAGAATATTACAACGAGAAGATTCTAGTCAGTCTATTAATATTCTCTACCTCAAGACTATTACCTATGGAATGATAACCTTTTCGTAATTGGCGGTAGTTTGTTTGGAGAAGCTGGCCGCTGAAGAGTAGGAACAGTATACTGAAGCCTGTCAATCGATATGTCAAGATTTTTATATTGATAATTTTTTGGATGGAGCCCTCACGAAAAAAGAAGTATGTCAACTGCGTGACGAACTAATTACCGTCTTGGGTAAAGCTGGATTTGAATTGAGTAAGTGGGCTAGAAACGAATCTGGTATATTAACGACTAATTTAGAGCATTCTGTAAATCAAAATTATGGTAATACAGTACCAAAAAATATAGTAACCAAAATATTGGTTATGTACTTGAACAAAAATAATGACTCATATCAGTAAATGGTAAAAGAATACAACAAAGATGTTCCTATTACCAAGCGTTCTATCCTAACTGAAATAGCGTCAATTTTCGAACCGTTGGGACTAATAAATCCAGTGTTCATTAAATTCAAAATTTTAATTCAAAGGTTATGGCAATTAAAAATCGGATGGGATAAGAAGATACCCGAAAATATAAAACGAGAGAGGAAAGAAAGCCGTGAAAAATTATATGTAATAAATATATTGTTGATATCAAGGCAAATAGTAGGCGACGGCAGTATAAGCGAGATTGAGGTGCATGGGTTCGCGGATGCGTCACTTACGACGTACGGTGCCTGCTTGTACTTACGTGTAATACAAAATGATGGTCAGTGTGTTGTAAATTTAATTTGGTCTAAGTCTCACGTCACCCCTCTCAAAACTGTGTCATTGCCGCGACTCGAATTGTTAGCAGCCGTATTATTAGCACGATTAGCAAATAAGTATGGGCGCAGTTTGCGATTAAATATTATTAATTATTTTTATTGGTCCGATTCTACAGTGGTACTTTCGTGGATAGCATCGCCGTTAGCTAGGTGGAAAACGTTTGTAGTCCACAGAGTAGGAGAAATCCTTGATCTCACATCTATTGTACAATGGTATCACGTGCGTACAGCTAACAACCCGGCAGACGTGGTCTCACGTGGCATTTGCCCACTTCAGTTAAAGAATTTAACAATTTGGTGGAAGGGCACCAGTTGGTTAGTTAAGAAAAGCTCTGAGTGGCCTAGGTCAACTTGACGAAGATCGTCGAATAGAAATATTGATAGAAGAGCGCGCAAGTGTTGGTGTCAGTGGCTAAACATGACTTGTCAATTTTAAATAAATATTTGTCATTAACAAAATTTCAACGCGTTTTTGAATATTGTTATCGGTTTGTGAATAATGCGTTAGCTAAAAAGCGTAAATTAAAGTGTCAGTACGGACCTGTACAGGCTGATGAAATTGAAAAGGCGACTACATGCATAATAAAGGTCATTCAAAAGTGTTACTTCGGTGAGGAAATACAAAGTATTCAAAAACTACGTACAATAATATCAAAAAGTAATTTAATACGTTTAAATCCGTTCTTGGATGAGAAGGGCGTGCTCAGAGTTGGTGGTCGTTTACGAAATCAGCTGATTTGAGCTTGTTGCAGCGTCATCCAATAATATTGCCGGCTAAGTGTGAATACACGAAATTAGTATTTACTAACGAATTTAAAACTTATGCACGGTGGACCGCAATCGATGTTGGTGTCGGTCCGTTTAAAACATTGGCCACTAAATGGACGAAGTATTGCGTGCCATGTTTTAAATATAAGTCCATTGTAGTCCAACCAATCATGGGTGATCTGACCGCTGAGTGGTTAGAACCGTCTAGGGCGTTCCTTAAAATAGGTAATGATTTCGCGGGACCGTTTTACGTTAAGTCTAGTCAGCGAAAAAAGCCCCCGTGATTAAGACGTACTAGTGCATATTCGTGTTCTTTGCGACCAAGGCCATTCACATAGAGTTAGTAAGTGACCTGACCACGCCTGCGTTTATTTGTGCACTGTAGCGTTTCTGTGATCGTCGCGGTCTTTGTTCAGATATTTTTTGCGACAATGCTACGAATTTTATTGGTGGAAGACATCAGCTTGACGAGCTACGCTCTTTATTTATGTACAATAAGCACCAAGAGCAAGTTATAAATCATCTATCTAGGTAGTATGGTCACGAGATTACCTTCAGCAGCTACAGGAGCGAAGCAAGTGGGTGTCGTCTTCTAGTCCTCGACTAAAACCAGAAACTGTCGTGGTAATCCGAGAAGACAATTTACCTCCTCTAAAATGGAACCTGGAGAGAGTAATCAGTGTCACTGAAGGAGCGGATGGTAAAGATTTAACAGCTGTACGATTAATATTTATATAGATTTTGATTTTTTTTTACAAGAAAATGTAGATAAAATTTTGATAACGGAATTTTGAGTTTTATACAATATTTTTTCCAAGAAATAATTATGGGAATAAATTAATTTTTTTTCCGGTTAGAAATGTTGGTAACATTGTGTTTAAAACAGTTGATAAGTATTAAATAATATTATTTACTAATTGACAGCTATTTGAATATAGGTGCGCTGTGGGTGTACCATGGGTAGTTATGCCTCTTGGTATAATTACTGGTTCATATTATTGTTCGCGCGTATTTTTTGAAAATAGCCGGCGGATGATTAATCAGCACGACATTTTTACTTTATTATTTTGTCGTGAACTGTATTTAATATTTTAAAATAAATTATTAATATTACTGATATTATTATAAAAATAATATGCTTCGTGACGAATAGATTTTAGAATTATTAGGTGATGAAAACATATCGGAATACGGAAGTCCAAGAAGTGAAACTGAAGAAATTGATTTTCCATTTGCAGAATTTTAATATTTGTTAGATAATTTTGATAATGATAATGATGATTGCTTAATTGTGTAGGACGAAGAATGGGTACCACCACCATTAATCATAACATGTAAACGTAACATAAAATGGCCTCAAAAACCTTTTAATCAGCCAACTCTCAAGTTAGATGACGTAGAACAAAATAATAATATATTAGAATTAAAATCACCTTTACAATACCTTTCTGAGTATTTTTATAATAATGTTTTCGAAAATATGGCTTATCATACTAATTTTTATGCGATTCAAAAAGGTGTTACTAGATTTAAACCTACTGATATGTACGAAATGAAACGTTTAATCGGTATTCATATTATAATGGGTAATTTAAAATATCCACGTGTACGTTTGTATTGGCAAAAACATTTGGAAGTAAATTTAGTTGCTCTAAATATGACCCGAGACAGGTTTTTTCTTTGCGCAATAATTTACATATCGTCGACAACAATGAAATTCCTAATGGAAAACCTTCTCAGCTTCGCATCGAAATTAAATAATAAAAATATAAAAAAAACAAATTTTATTAAAATTAACACTTTTTCAGCTTTGCATCGAAGCTAAAAATTATATATAAGAATATGTTAATATAATTTTATTTAATTAAATAGATTTTGATTTACAGTGTTTTTATAATCACTGAATTACAAGATCGACCAAGAAATTTATTTGATAAACTTAATAAATATAAATAATGTAAAATCAAATTTACCTTCGTTAAATATCAAACAGGAAATAATCATAAAAAAATATGATAATTGCCATTTCTAGAATAAAATAAAATAACCTTTTAGATTTCAATCAAGTACTTCTACAAAATAAATTACTCACCTCCATTTTACTCATCTTCTTTTAACTAGTGTTTAATTTAGTATTATGTACTGAATGTCTAATGACAAATTTCTAGTTAAATAGGTCTATATATAACAAATCACCGACATAAATAATTATTATTTTATATTATTTAATTTAAAGAACTGATTTTAAGTAAATAATAAAGTATACAAGATAATCGGTTTGACATAAACCACTTGATTACACGCAAAATAAATACGATATTATATCGAGTGGTTTATGATAAACTGATCACATTGTATATACTTTACTATTTACTAAATCTTTATAGTCAGCTTATTCATACACATGTAAAAATATGTTCAAATCGGGATCGGCATAAACATATTCTTAATTAAATAAAATAATGTGAATTATTATCATTAATACATTTATATATATATATACATACATAATGTTAATTTAACGCTAGTCATCTGATTTTTCTTAAAATAATAATCATATTAAGAATATTATATTGGGTAATTTTTAGTATCATTGATTTCTTGTTTTGTCAGTTATTTTGCAGTTCATCCCTTACATTTTATAAGACTATCAACTTAATTTTTCCTACGATGCGAAGGTGAGGAGTTATTAATTTTACTATGATTTATTTATTTTTTTTATTTAAATATTATTATTTTTTTAGCTTCGATGCTAAAAGGGCTGAGAAGGTATTGGTTTTACTATGATATTTTTTTTTTCTGTGCCTATTACCACTTTTTTCAGCTCTTATTTCTTTCAACAATACGTCAAAAGATCACAAATCTTATCTAGTCGAAGACATTATCCTCAAAAATTGAAAAAATTTTTCCTCGTTCCCCGTAAATGGGAGAAAACTCCAAAAAATTACAAATTTAAAAATCGCTAATTTTTTCAATTTTTTTTACTAAAATGTGCCGTAACTGTTTTAAAAATGAACAAATCATTATAATTTTTTTTTTATAGATGCTTGATGTCTTTGTAAATTTGACCCTTTATCTGCCCACAGGGGGGGATTTAAAATGACAACTTTTTCACTAAAAATTAACTTTTTCAATTTAACTTTTGAAAATGTTCCGGAAGGTCTGACACTTTTATATATATCTTAAATTATAGCTAATGTAATATACTTAAATTAAAAAAAAAAAAAATTTGACCTTCAGACTTGTCTTCAAGGTGAAAATGATTACCAAATGCTATTTTCATGTGAAAATTCTCGATTTCATATTTTACATTTTTTACTTTAAAAGACTATAACTTTTTAAAAAATGTATAGATAAATATAATTTTTTTATGAGAAATAATATTTTTTAATAATCTCTTTTTCATTCGACATACTTTATCTTAATCGAGATATTAATAAGGAACCAGCAGATCATGTAGCTTTTGGAATAAAACACAAATTTTTTTAAAATTAAACACTATCTAAAGATTTGCATCGAAGCGTTTATTTTTGATAGTGATTTTAATCACTGTCAGATATCATTATACTTGATCCAACTATACCACTGCACCACTGTGCCGCGACTCCCCTGTGCTGGGTTTTTATTATTATTATTATTANCCTGTGCTGGGTTTTTATTATTATTATTATTATTGTTTGATATTAGACGACAGTTTTTACTCAAGCGAGAAAAAACTAATCTCTTAATAAATGTTACTCTATGCATATATACAGCAATAATTCATTTTATTAATTGAAAGTTAATCGTTCTAAGTAGCCTATTTTTCGTTAAAATTAAATATAGTCCATATTCGAAACATTTGGTCCATATTAAAAATATATACTAATGTATTTAAATTCCACTCTTAAAATATTTTCCCTGAAACTATTTATTATTATAAAGGATAGAAGACTGGACATTTTGTCGAAGAAACGTCAAGTTTCGGGTCAGAATGTTTGATGCGAATAACTTTTTTTGTACGATTTAATTTGTTCTGTGATACATTTTTATATTACACTTTGACTTTGTGTTTATTACGTTTCTTAAATAAAATAGCTATTTAAAAACCTGCACTTAGCGTAAATATTTTATATCCACCGTGCTATTAAAATTGTGTTTATGTGTGCGGCTAAAGTCGAGGTTGGACGCTGGTCATTTAATCAATCTTAATAATTAGTGGGTTTGCTGGCTAATTTTTGGGCTTAACCGTCCTTTAGTAGGTACAGTTAAAAGGTAGTTGTGCTGGTGGCTGACAAGGACCCACCCTTCAGTCTGCTACTTTTGAGCTAGACCATGCTGACGGGTCTAAACTCTACCCCTTAAGTTAATTTTACATACAATAAGTGTAATATCATAAAACATCAAAAATTTGTACACTTACACGTAATTTTTGCAACAATTTATAAATATTTCTTTAACATCATACGTGTTTTATACTTGGAACACATTTTTAAGAAATATAGGTATTTTTAATGAGAATTTGATTTTAATTAAAAATATATATAAATTAGGCAAGTAAAATGGCATAAATTCTATCAAATTTATTGTTAATGTTTAGCTTAAGACGGTTTATTTAAAATATAATGTAATTGACTGTTAAAAATAAACAATATTTTATAAAAATAATTATATTTTAAAACTAATTAGGACATCCATTTTCGTAAGCATAGTTAATTATATCAAAAAAACCTCTTCTAACAGCTTCATAAATAGTATTTCTACTCCATGGACAATTATGCTCATGTGCGTACTTTAAACAATGAAACTGACGATTTGCAGCAGCAAGTCTTGTAGTGCCTTCATCCCATTTACAACCATTTTCGTGGGCATACATTAAGCAATTTAAATTACCACGCATGGCAGCGGTAGCGATTGTTCCTTCATCCCAATTACATCCATTTTCATGAGCAAATTTCAGACAACTAATGCAACCACTCGCAGCAGCTTCTCTTGTTGTGCCTTCGTCCCATTCACAACCATTTTCATAAGCATATTTGAGGCATCCTACATTTCGATTCGCAGCAGCCCCTCTCATTGTACCTTCAATCCATTTATATCCATGTTCATAAGCATATTTTAAACAGTCTAAATTACCATGCACGGCAGCTGTAACTAATGTTCTTTCATCCCATGGACAATCCTTTTCATGAGCATACTTTAAACAGTCTAAACAACCACTAGCTGCTGAAGCTCTAGTTGTGTCATAATCCCATGAACATCCATATTCATGTGCATATTTTAAACAATCAAAATTCCTTGTAAAAGCAGCAGCTTTAGTTGTTCCAATGGCCCATTTACATCCGGTTTCATGAGCATACATTAAGAATTCTAAATTACCATAAGTGGCAGTGACACTTGTTGTTTTTTCATCCCATGGACATCCATTTTCATGAAGATATTTTAAAATGTCTAGGCTACTTCTTTTTATAGCAGCACTAAGTATACCGTCATCAAATGGACAACCATTTTCATGTGCATATTTTAAAATTTCTAAATTACCTTTTTCGGTAGCCGCAATAGTTATACCGTTATCCCATGGACATCCATTCTCATGTGCATATTTTAATATTTCAAAATTACCTCTTAATGTAGCCGCAATAGTTGTACCATTATCCCATGGACATCTATTTTTGTGGGCATATACTAAACATTTTAGATGACCATTAGCAGCAGCTACCCTTATTGTGTTTTTATCCCATGGTAATCCATTTTCATGAGCATATTTTAAAATTTCAAAATTACCATTAAAAGCCGCTAGTGCCGTTATTATTTTATCCCATTCGCATTTGTTTTTATGAGCATATTTTAAGCAATCTAAATGCCCATACTTAGCAGCAACCATTGTTATACCATCATCTAATGGGCATCCATTTTCATATGCATATGTTAAGCAGCCTAAATGACCACCTGCAGCAGCAGCTCTAGTTGTTCCTATATCCCATTCGCATCCATTTTCATGGACATATTTTAAACAAATTAAATTACCTTTTAAAGCAGCAGCTCTTGTTGTGCCTCTATCCCATTTGCATCCATTTTTGTGAGCATACATTAAACAATCTAAACAACCACTTGCTGCAGCAGATCTAGTTATCCCTTCACCCCAATGACTTCCATTTTCATGTGCATATTTTAAACAATCAAAATTACATTTTAAAGCAGCAGCTCTTGTTGTGCCAATGGCCCATTTACATCCGTTTTTATGAGCATAAGTTAAATATTCTAAATTACCATAACTTGCAGCTGCTTCTGTTGTTTTTTCATTCCATGGGCATCCATTTTCGTGTGCATATCTTAAACATTCGAAATGTCCATTTGCAGCAGCGTTTCTAGTAGTGTCTATATCCCATCTACAGTTATTTTCATGTGCATATTTTAAGCATTTTAAATGACCATTTGAAGCAGCAGCACTTGTTGTTTTTTGATCCCATTCACAATCACTTTCATAAGCTAGTTTTAATGTTTCCATGTCACCTATTTTAGCAGCTTTTCTTGTCGTGCCTTTTTCAAACGGGCATATTTTTTTTTTACCCGAATATTTATTTTCAATACCTAAATTAGCACAACAATTATTTAACATTTGCTGTATTTAAATTTTAATTAGATTATTAAAAATATCTTATTAAGAAAGTACAATAAAAAAAATGTAAGTAATGAGCCCCTTCTCCATTTTCTTTAGTTATAATTATTTTGTCTAAATATAACAGTTATACACAATAATAATAAAATTTTATTTTGAATAATATAGTTAAATTAAACTCTTTTGTAATTATAAAATTGAAAAAATACTCTCAATGTCACATTATTTCAGTAGCTCTCCTATTCCAAAAGTATACGATAGTAGAATAATTTTGTATATTATGTTATTAATGTTAATTATATCGTATTTCTTATGAATATTATAATGTAATATTATCAAATAATAATAATTTTAAATGTTATTCAAATAACATTGTTATGATGAATGGATTAAAGGAAACTAATATTAGGGACAACATTAATATTATGTAAATAAAGTGCATTTAATCAACACATTAATTAATAAACTATATATTTAGTTTTTAGATTAAAAATAACATATAAATAAAAGATTTTATCATTAAGTAATAATCTACAAAATCTGTAAATAATTTTAAGAAATTGGTGTTCAATTACAGAAGAAACATCAACTCTTATTTCCTTAATAAATCTTGATTAGTAGTTCTTAGATTCAAAAGTATAATATTTGAATTATTATATATTATAACAATTAAATATATTACAAATTTTGATTATAATTGTATTCTTTTTTTTTTTTAACTCAGATGAAACTAAAAATAATTTTTTTAGAAATTAACAAAGTTTTTTTTATTTATTAATTACATAATTTTTTAAAAATACGCTTGCCACAAGTCTGTTTGCCGTACGATACAACTATTATTCAAGGAAATATTTTCTAGCTGGTCTATGTAGTTTAATTGCTACTTTACTCATAATATTACAACTAGTGCTCGTAACTCTTCTTCTATTAACAGTAATTCGTTTCCCACATCTGTATTTCCAGCACTTCTTGCATCGTGAAAAATTTCTAATCTAACTATAAGTTTATTAGGATCGTTCCAATACACGTATTCCTTAGATCTTTTTTTTTAAATTTTGTAGATTAACACACCACTGCCTGTTTTTGGAGGAAACAAGGAACTAATGATATATTTCTATTTATAGCTTGCATTAGTTTTCAATTTTCCTTCTCGACCTAAAATCATCCTAAGGTGATGATATGGCAATGTACATGGTTATAGGCGAGTCGCAGGGCGAATTTACTATATTTGCGTACTAAGGTACACGCGAATCGCTAGGGCGAATGTCTATATATAAAAAAAACTATTATGCACGAAAAAGGCCATATGGAACACTTTGACAAGGGCCAAAATAGTAACAGCACCACATACACTACGACTCAAAGGATTTTCACATCGATATATACATCGATCATGTACGTAATTATCTAACATAATGAATTTCTCGCACAACCGATGGTGATAGTGCGAGTGGCGTTATCAGTCATAATAAAAATTTAAGAAAACGCCTTCTCGTGATGTATATCTAACAATACCGTCCTTTATTCCAATATTGTGAACACATGGCTTTGAATATATTAAATCTCATATTACTGGAACAATGGTACTCATAAACGTGTTTAAGATTTCTTTCATCTTGCTTGTACTGTATTATCATATTAGTGTTATCTCTTATCAATCGTTTAGGAATTCTAGAATACGTCTATGTTAGGTAAAAACTATCAACGCCATTGTGTCGCTTTCGGCACAAATAGGATGTCATATGAATTTGTTTATTACAAATTAGATCATCAAATACAATGACAAAGTTTGCTTCTAATTTTTAGAGTGAAGGTACGTCTTTATTTCTGGTAAACATAGATAATTTTAAGAAGCGAAGTGTAAGACGCACTATTGTTAATTCAATAATTAACCGATTGCCAATTGAAATGCATATTCCAGGATATTAGTATTGACGGATTTGGCTGATTACGAGTTGGAAAAACGCACATAGAACCATCTAAAAGCGAACGATAGTTCATTTGAAGAAAAAGATGTAAGCGTATGCTGTAACAAATACCATGAAATTTACTACAATTTGGATGTAAAGCTATGCGTAAATTAAAAAATATTAACAGTACGGCAAACTTAGCATTAGTAATCGCTCGTATTGCCATTAAAAGAAAACAAAAATTTAAAACACCCCGCATTATATGAGTACCAAAATTTGGTAAGGTGCTTCAATTCATCCCTATATTTATTGGAATTTCAGCTTTAGTATCGTTGGCTGGTGGAGTATCAAGTATTTTAAGAGCTGCTTGTAATAGATTATTCCAAAATCAACATGGTCTCCTATTTCCTTATTTAGATCCTAATTACAAGTTTTATGATTATAAGTGTAATATATGTATAAATATTTATTATAACAATTAAATATTATATGAAATTGATAATTAATAATTTAGTATTATAATTTTTACAGAGAAATTATAAAAAAATTTTAAAGAATTTATTACTTACAATACTTAAAAAAATTATTGTTATTTATAAATAAATTTACTGGTCTACAAGGAATTTTCATCCAAGACCAAAATATATTTTTCTTAACCTAATTTTACGCCAATTTCAAATATGCAATTAGAATTTCGCATATAACATAAATAATAACAAAATCCTTCTAATTAATATAACGAATATTTATGTTTTATTATTAGGTTACGTAAGAATAATCAATAAATATATTTTAATTAAAAATAAATTGAAAAAGTTATTTTTTCTAAATGCATTTTTAAGTTTTGAAACTCTCCTGTACAAAAGAAATATGATCCGCTTTAAACAAAATGTATGTCGAGTGAAAAAGGTATATAAATAGTATTTATCATAAAAAATTTTTATTAATTCATACGTTTTTCAAAATTTATAGAAATATAAAGTTGAAAATATAAAATTGAGGATTTTATATAGTGATGGGCATTTTCGAGTATTTTAAACTATCAAATAGTATTCGAATTGTTTTTATACTACCGAATAGTTTATTTTTGACATAAACTATCGAATACTTTTAAAAACTATTCAAATGGGCCACCGAATGGTTTCAAAAAATATTCGATTAGTTCTACCTAAAATTTTTATTCAATACACTGAATTAATAAGAAAATTAACGAACACTTAAAATAAATTATTATACAATTGATAATAGTAAAAATTGGTGATGAGCATTTTCAAATATTTTAAACTATTGATTAACTATTCGAATTGTGATTATATAACCGAATAGTTTATTTTTAGCTTAGACTATCAAATAGTTTTTAAATGACTATTTAATAATTCGAATAGTGGACAACCATTGAATAGTTCGATAGTTACTATTCGATATTTCCCATCACTAATTTTAACACAAAAATAGCATACGATAGCCAGTTCACTGTAAACTCAAAATAAATTCCAAAATTATTTTTTTTTCATAATAAAGTATAAAACATTAGCTTTAATTTAAGATATATATAAAAGTGTCAGACCTTCCGGAACACTTTCAAAAGTTAAGTTGAAAAAGTTCTACTTTCTATATGCATTTTTTATATTTGAAGCCCCCCCATATATAGGGAAATAGTCTGATTTAAAAAAAAAGTATATCCAATGAAAGATGTATATAAATACTACTTCTCATGAAAAAATTGTATTGATCCATACATTTTTTAAAAAGTTATAGCACTTTAAAGTAAAAAATGTAAATTATAAAATCGAAAATTTTCACACAAAAATAGCATTCGGTAGCCGTTTTCACCATGAAGACAAGTCCAGAGGTCAAATTTTTTTTTTTCAAATTAAAGTATATTACATTAGCTTTAATTTAAGATATATATAAAAGTGTCAGACCTTCCGGAACACTTTCAAAAGTTAAGTTGAAAAAGTTCTACTTTCTATATGCATTTTTTATATTTGAAGCCCCCCCATATATAGGGAAATAGTCTGATTTAAAAAAAAAGTATATCCAATGAAAGATGTATATAAATACTACTTCTCATGAAAAAATTGTATTGATCCATACATTTTTTAAAAAGTTATAGCACTTTAAAGTAAAAAATGTAAATTATAAAATCGAAAATTTTCACACAAAAATAGCATTCGGTAGCCGTTTTCACCATGAAGACAAGTCCAGAGGTCAAATTTTTTTTTTTCAAATTAAAGTATATTACATTAGCTTTAATTTAAGATATATATAAAAGTGTCAGACCTTCCGGAACATTTTCAAAAGTTAAGTTGAAAAAGTGCTACTTTCTATATGCATTTTTTATATTTGAAGCCCCCCCATATATAGGGAAATAGTCTGATTTAAAAAAAAAGTATATCCAATGAAAGATGTATATAAATACTACTTCTCATGAAAAAATTGTATTGATCCATACTTTTTTTAAAAAGTTATAGCACTTTAAAGTAAAAAATGTAAATTATAAAATCGAGAATTTTCACACAAAAATAGCATTCGGTAGCCGTTTTCACCATGAAGACAAGTCCAGAGGTCAAATTTTTCTTTTTCAAATTGAAGTACATTACATTAGCTTTAATTTAAGATATATGTAAAAGTGTCAGACCTTCCGGAACATTTTCAAAAATCAAGTTGAAAAAATTAATTTATTGTGAAAAAGTTGCCATTTTAAATCCCCCCCTGTGGGCAAGTAAAGAGTCACATATAAAAAAAATATATACCAAATAATAGGTGAAGTCATCAAACATCTATGAAAAAAAAAATTATATTGATATGTTCATTTTTGAAAAAGTTACGGCAGTTTTTAGTAAAAAAAATTGAAAAAATTTCGAAAATTAGCGATTTTTAAATTTGTAATTTTTTTGGAGGTTTCCCCCATTTACNATTCTTAAATTTGAAATTTTTTTGGAGGTTTCCCCCATTTACGGGGAACGAGGGAAATTTTTTCAATTTTGAAGGGTAATGTCTTCGACTAGATACAATTTGTGATCTTTTGACGTATCGTTGAAAGAAATCCGTTCGGTGAGAGCTGAGAAAAAGTGGTAACAGACAAAAAAAAAAAAAAAAACACATCATAGTAAAACCAATACCTTCTCAGCTTCGCATCAAAGCTACTATAAAATTATATACTATGAAATTGTTGTATTACATTGTTTTCAAATTATTATTGATATTGATTTGTAACATGTTAAAAGTAACAATTTTTAACCTTCTTTATTTTGTCCTTTAATGTGAAGGTTTATAATAAAAAAAAAAAGAATTTATTATCATACTTTTAGATGAACTTGCAAGTTTGAAGTTGACATTATTAAATAGAAAAAAATAAAATTGTTAAGATTGATATGCAGTCAGGAAATTTTATAATTACTATTTACAGTATATTTATCAGAAAAGTTCGATTTTTTACATTTATTAGCAATAGATCACTTAAATAAAAATCTTAGTAATCATTTCTAATTAACTTTTGGTGTTTAAAAAAATTCTACAATGAAAATATTCAGAACTTTATTAATTTTAATGATTTACTTTAACTAAAAAAACCAGCACATTTTTTTACTCTATTTTTGTGTGCTACTACTAGACTACAATATTCCAAATTTTTTGGTAACATGTTGTTATATAAATCATTCCTAAAAAAAACCCAGCACAGTGGGATCGCGGCACAGTGAGGTCCAGTATAGATTTAATCTGACAGTGATTAAAATCACTATCATAAGAAACGCTTCGATGCATATCTGTAGATAGTGTTTAATTCTAGGTAATTCATGGATAATTACAATAGCATCATAAACTTCTATTTTCTTAATTATATCATATAATTTTTATAATTAAATTGTTTTCAAATTATTATTGATTTTTATTGTGTTAAAGTAATAATTTTTAAACAGAATTATAAAAAATACCTTGCCACAAGCGGGTTGGAACCTCAGACCCCACGAGAGGTAGCCAAAGTATTACCGACTCCACAACTGTACGTCGCGTAAGCCGAATGATGAAAAAAGTAATTTAACCTAAATCAAATTTCAAAGATATTTTTCTCGACTTCAAAAAAGCAAAAAAATTTAAATAAGTTTAACTTTTTATGCTATATTAATTTTATTTATATAATATTTATGAAAATATGTGTACTCCCCTTGTCAGGTAATTTAAAATAAAATAAACTACAAAACCCAGAATTTGAACACAAAAATAGCATATTTTTGAATATGGTAGTAATTTTTACCATGAAGAAAAATCCAGAAGTCAATTTTTTTTTCAAAATAAAGTATATTACATAAGCTTTAATTTAAGGTATATATAAAAGTGTCAGTCTTTCCAGAACATTTTCAAAAGTTAAGTTGAAAAAATTACCATTTTGAAACCCTTCCTGTGGCCTGGTATGGGTCAAATGTTCAAAAAAATATATAAAGTAATATGTATACAGTGAAGGTATCTAAAAAAAAAATTTAATCATTCGGTTATTTTTAGTTATAAGTTATAAGTTAGATTTTTAAATTTGTAATTTTTTGTGAAATTTCCCCGTTTACGGGGAACAAGGGAATTTTTTCAATTTTTGAAGGTAATGTCTTCGACTAGATACGATTTGTGATCTTTTGACATATTTTTCATCAAAATCGGTCCAGTGAGAGCTGAAATTAAGAGTTCACAGACACAAAAAAAAAAAAAACTCAGCTTTGCATTGAAACTAAAATTAGATATATCATTATTCTTATAGAGAGCGTATTATCCTTTTAGCTTCGATGCGAAGCTGAGAAGGTATTGGTTTTACTATGATGTGTTTTTTTTTTTTTTT